TTCACCTCTCACACCTCTATACCCCTTATGAACAGAGCAATTTTGTATTACTTCTAAGGATCTGTTTACTTAGCAATAGCTTTGCCCTTGCTTGAGATAACAAAGCAATACATGCATTTGTTTTTGTTTTGTTTTTTTCAGGGAAAGCAAGATTTTATTTTAGTGATATTGCCTGGCAAAAATTATTTTGTTTCCTATGCAATCTATAGATGAGAAGATATAAAAAAAAAATCTTAAAATGCACTTTTTTTTCTACTTTCTACTTTGACCAATGTTGGGTTAAAAAAACATATTTTCATTGTATCAATAAATATTTGCGGAGTCTGGTCCACAGGGACCAAGTGGGATTTGTTCCTGGGAGGCAGGCGGGTGATAATGTTCGTAAAGTTGTTCATCTTATACACCTACAACAGCGCAAAATTCAAGGATTTCTATTGTCTTTAGATATATATATAAAGCTTTTGATTCCCTATCCTGGGAAAATCTGCGGTTTGTGCTGTCCCGGTGGGGTTTTGGGGATTCTACCTTTTCTTGGATCCAGGCCTTGTATTCTTCCCCCTCGGCTTCGGTTAAGTATGTGGGGTATTTCTCAGATCCCTTTCCCATTTGGCGAGGGACGAGACAGGGATGCCCCTTGTCTCCGGCATGCTTTGTCCTGGTGCTTGAGCCACTAGCTTTTGCGCTCCGGGCGGATTGTAATATAACAGGTGTCCCTTATGCAGGACAGGAATTTAAGTTGAATCTTTTTGCGGACGATGCCCTGTTGACTCTTACAAATCCATTGATGATGCTCCCAAATTTACAACGGGTCCTTGCTCGGTTTTGGTAGATTTTGGGTCTCCGTATTAATTTGGACAAGACTGCTGCTCTCCATATCACTTTGGCCTCAGATTTGGTTTCACGCCTGCAATCCCACTACCCTTACAAATGGGCTTCCTCTTCCCTGGAATACTTGGGCATTCGCCTGAACCCCACTTATAGCTCTTTGTTTACTTCAAATTATTATCCTTTGCTCCGCTCTGTGTCCTCCCTCATGCAGTCTTGGCAATTCCCGCACCTTTTCTGGATTGGATGGGTTAATTCAGTGAAAATGACTATCCTGCCTAACTTGTTGTATTATTTTCGCACCCTCCCAGTGCGGGTTTCTTCTCATTTTCTACAGTTACTTCAGGCGAGGATTATGCGATTTATCTGGGCTGACAGATGCCCAAGAGTCTCTAGAAACACGCTTTTTACCCATAGATTGAAGGGAGGTCTTGGGGTGCCTAATGTAGCTAAGTATTATCAGGCGAGCCAGATTGCCCCCCTGTCTAATGTAGCTAAGTATTATCAGGCGAGCCAGATTGCCCCCCCCCCTCTGATGTTCCTCTCTGGGTTCTTTTGGGACCTGCCTAACTGTGCCCCCTTTGCACCGTCGACACTTTTATGGCTCCCCCCGGCCCAACGCCTGAGGACATTGAGTCCCATCTTGCTCCACGGCCTACAAGTGTGGGATTTGGTATGCTACTCTAGTGGCTTGATGTCGCCCTTTCTCCCGATTATCAATAATCCTCGTTTTCCACCGGGTTTGAATCAGCCAGGGGCATTCTCTTGGTGGGTGGCCAATGGTTTTTTCGCAGGTGCAACACTTTTTGACCTCTCGATCCTTCCCCACCTGGAACTCTCTTCGGGAATCACGGGATATCCCTCAGGCAGAATTTTTCCGTTACCTTCAATTGCAGCATTGGTTGACCTCTCGCTGCGTGCCACTTCTGTTTTTCCATATATGAGAAATCAGCCTTTGAACAGCTTTGCCAACAGCGTCCAGGGCTCTTGTTTCCCTACTCTATGCATCCTTGAATAGGCGCCCAATGCGTAATTCTTTATCATATGTTATCCAGCAGGAGTGTGACTTGGGAACGGTCGTGGATCTGGAGGACTGGAATAAGGCCTGGTTGTTTGTAGCTAAATGTTCATTTAATACGGCGACACTGGAGGCGGCATACAAAGTACTGTTTCGTTGGTATTGGGTTCTGACTCGTATAGCCCAGGCGAACCCTGCCTATAGTGATCGCTGCTTTCGGGGTTACGGCCATCGAGATGTGTTGCATGTATTGTGGTCATGTCTGAGACTGCTTAGTTTTTGGTCTCATGTCTTAGGCCTTCTTTACACCTTGTTCCATCTCTCCATACTCCGAAAGGCTCAGTATGCTTTGCTTTATTGCCCCATCCCAGGCCTGTTGACTCATCAGTAGAAGTTGGCTTCCTATCTGTTTTTGTCGGCCACTGGAACAATTGCCCAGGCATGGAAGAGCTCGTCTGTCCCTCTTCAGGGGGTGCGGGACCGTATGACCACTCTGATGCTCAATGAACAGATGTTGAGTATCCATAATGACTCCGAAATAATTTTTTTTTAAATATGGGAGCCGTGGTTGGTATATGCTTTTCCCATGCTCCCCCTGGCTAGTCTGGGTTTATGACGCTGTATGGTGATGGCGTTCCTGGATCTTGTTTCTGGTCTTGTTTTCTTCTTCCTTCTTTACTCCTTTTACCTCTTTCTTTTCTGTTTGCTTACATACGTGAGGTGATAGATATTTGCCTTTAGCTGGAAATTTTTGTTGGTGTTATATTACTGTTTCTGTATTTTATGTGCTATTGATTGCCCCTAAGTGGGCACAACTCTTGCATTGTTGGAGTTACAATACTGATTTCTTTATTTTCTATGTACCATTGATAGCCCCTGTGTGGGCATGTCTTTTGCTCTAATCCTTCTTGTTAAATTGTTTACAAAACTTAATAAAAACCATTGAAATATAAAAAAAAACACATTTTTTAAAATGAAAAAAAAAAAAAAAAAAAATAATGCAAATGAAAAAAAAAAGTAATAATGGTTAACTACAATAGAAAAAATATAGATAAGGGGAGAAAGGGTTAACTAAGCATTAATAAGGTTTTTTTCTTTATTGTAAGCTTGTTTTAATGGACATTATATGCAGATCAAAGGTCACCCCATTTGATTTGCAGCTGTATAAAACAAAGTAACAGTGTTACATTGTATCTGTGAATCACACCACTGAACAGTGTTTACAAACACTGATCAGAAGGTCTGTTTTTCATGGTAGTGGCTAGCGCCAGCTGCTGTATTTACAAAGTAAGGCTAGGTTCACACTATTGTGTGTTTGGGACAGGAAGTAAATTGCGCTTTCCCCGCACCTGCAGCAAAAGTATGAAGCTCTTATGTAGGCATTCAGGGGTGCTATTAATTTTTAACGCAAGACCTAAATCTTAACCTAAGTCTTGGCTGTCATTTTGGCAGTCAGGAACTGCAGGGTAAAGTGAGTCGCAGGGGTTGGGGGATACAGGGCATGCTGCCTACTCTCTGCGTACTTTGGTGACATTTTTGGGATGTACGTAGCATGTCTAATGCAGGCCATAGACGGGGAGAAAAATGGTCGATTTTCCTTTTAAAAAACGAAAAATCGGTCCTTCAAGCGGCCGACGTTACCACCAATGGTAAAAAAAATCGGCTGATTTTCATCCTGTCTACAGCCGGCAAAAAGTGTCCCTGCAGAGAGCTCTGCTATTTCTTTGACAGTTCCTTGACATTTACAGAGGTTGCAACAATGTATCTATTTGTATCCATTTAGGATACAGATGTTTTTATTTGGAAACAAATAGATACAATGTTGCAACCGCTGTAAATGTCAAGGAACTGTCAAAGAAATAGCGGAGCTCTCTGCAGGGACACTTTTTGCCGGACTAGAATTCCTCTTATTTTTCATCCTTCTTCTTCTTCTCCTTCTTCATCATCATCCTCTTCTTCTTCATCATCATCCTCTTCTTCTTCATCATCATCATCCTCTTCTTCTTCATCATCATCATCCTCATCTTCTTCTTCATCATCCTCCTCTTCTTCTTCTTTTTCATCATCATCATCCTCTTCTTCTTCTTCATCATCATCATCCTCATCTTCTTCATCATCATCCTCCTTCTTTTTCTTCATCATCATCCTCCTCCTCTTCTTCTTCTTCATCATCATCCTCTTCTTCTTCATCATCATCCTCTTCTTCTTCTTCTTCTTCATCATCCTCTTCTTCTACTTCTTCCTCTTCTTCATCATCATCATCATCCTCTTCTTCTTCTACTTCTTCCTCTTCATCATCATCCTCCTCTTCTTCTTCATAATCATCCTCCTCTTCTTCTTCTTTCATCATCATCCTCCTCTTCTTCTTCATAATCATCCTCCTCTTCTTTTTTTTCTTCATCATCATCATCATCATCCTCTTCTTCTTCATCATCATCATCATCATCCTCTTCTTCTTTTTCTTCATCATCCTCTTCTTCTTTTTCTTCATCATCATCCTCTTCTTCTTCTTCATCATCATCTTCATCCTCTTCTTTTTCTTCTTTTTGTCTTCCTCTTGCAGGTCACTGCTCATGCGCAGATTTTGTAAAAAATCGGCCGATTTGCCCATTATTGCCGCGAAAATCAGCCAATTGGCAAAATCGGCCAATTTTTTTCCAACTTTACCGATAAAAAAAAATGCCAACTTTACCGAAAAAACGGCCGAACAAATAGCCAATAACGATCCGAAAATCGGCCGGTTTTATTTTCGGCCGAAAAATCGGCCGATTTTTGACCCATCTATGGCCTGCATAAGGTACAAGAATGTTTAATCATTTATGTGTTGCTTTAACGCTTATGCTACAAAAATGAATGGGGAAATGGGGAAAATGAACAAAAATACAACTTTTTTTTAATTTTACATTTTTTGCATCAGAAATGCTTGTAAAAAAATACAGTTAACTGCTCTGAGAGCCTGAGATAGCTTCAGTGTATCCAGGATCAGTAATGTGTACATAGGCTACAAATGATTAATTGACTCCTGGATACTTTTTTCCCCTGCCAGTTTCACAGTGCTTTTTGGCACAGACACTGATAAACGACTATTGATTGCCTACATTTGAATTTCACTCTCTTTATAATCATACATACTTAATTTTATTTCCTGATGCTAAAGGTCCATCCTGGGATAACAAAACTGAGCAGGCCTTCTTCAGAGGAAGAGACAGCCGGGAGGAACGTCTCCAGCTTGTCCGAATGTCCAAAAAATACCCTGATCTTCTGGATGCCGGTATCACTGGGTATTTCTTCTTCCGAGAGATGGAGAATCAGCTGGGGAAAGCTCCATTAGTTGGATTCTTTGACTTCTTCAAAGTAGGTCTTATGGCAGATTGTCACATGTTCCAAGTCCCAACTCTTTTTCAGGCAAGTTAGTTGAATCAGATAGAAGCAACTGATCAGACAAGATGGAAATCACAGATTACAATGATGTGGGTTTTAGTCATGTTTTATTAGGTTTTATTATGTTATTCATTATGTTGACTGAGCAGACATGTTTGCTTGTTTTGTCTGCCCCTCCAATCTGCTTAATAAATCCCAGATATTGGCTTCCTAGATTAGGAATATGACAAGGCTTTTATTGGTTGCTGTAAGTAGTACCATGTTCCTTCCTTGTTTCAGATGTTACCAGCTGCCACTAGTGAGACTTCTTCAGGCTTCAACCTGTGGTACAAACATATGCTTTAAAGTTAATCCAATCTTACTGCTACTATCTTATACTTCAAGCCGAGGTAAAAAGCAAGGTCTGCTTACTATGAATGGCCCTCCCCACCCCCCTATTGTAAGTAGTAGCATTGATGTAAAAAAAATACACCTGCTATTAAATATACATACCTTATCATTGGCTTCTATACTGAAGAGGTGACATTATTATTCTTCAAGTGAAGTACCAGGCGAAGCCAAGTACATGACATGTCACATGATGAAGTTCCAACACAACGCAGGAGTGTCTTCTCTTGAGATTTTGGTTATTTTAAAATCCCTTTGGATATTGCCAATAGGATGATAATATCATTCTCAAATAAATTAAGGTAAGGTTTAGTTAATATTTTTTTTTCACTTAAGGTGTATTTTATCTACATTAATGCTGCTATTTACAATGGGGAAAATGTGTTATCTATATTAAAGCTGAACTCCAGGCAAATTTTTTTTTTTCCACCATGCAGTAGGGCTGTGCTCGCACGGGTTAACTACTCGTGTTTGGGGATTGTAAAGCAGAGATATACTCACCTAATCCGCTGATCCTCCCAGCACAAGACCGGTCCCTGCCATTCCTGCCCCCTGTAGAGTCTAGCAGTCTTTTGTGGTGGACTGTTCCTGACATCATCGCGCCCATAGACCAGCTCTGAACGTCAGGAGTGGTTCACCGCTGGACCTGGGGGAGCGCCATTTTCCAGGAGATTGAAGGATCATGTGAGCATATGCGCTGTGTTCACCCCTAGACAAAACAAGCAGTTAACCCATGCAGTGCGGGCACAGCCCCACTGCATGGGAAAATAATTTTGTCCAGTGTTCTGCTTTAACGAGAAACTAAACTCTGAAAGCTCTGTCAAAGAAAACAGGCAGAGATCAAAGGACTAGTCACTAGTATTGTCTGTGGTCTACCTTTAGATTATCTTTCCTCAGTACTGGCTTATCATGTTTTGTGCTTTGGCAGCCATATCAGTAGAGACAGGGCTTTGCTTCCTCAGGTCAGTCTCCAGGAAAGAGGACAGTGCACAGCACAGCAGTGAAATCACCAAATATCAATACAAATCTGATAATACTAGCAGTCTGCAACAGCAGTGCTTTAGATTTCACACTGCAGATATACAGCTTCAAGGCTTGTAGGTACAGCTTTAAGGCTGTAGGTACAGGAGTGCCAAGGCATACTCACATACCAGGTGGTGAACTGCTATTATTTGGGAGGAATTCCAGACAAAATGTAAATTTTTCGGGGTACTGTTAAGCACAATTTACATTTCTAGATGTTCCTTACAAGCTTATAAGATGTTTCCTTATAGCAAATCTTCATTTTTTGAGTTTGGTTCCACTTTAAGCTAAACTATTTTCTGCGAGATTGCTTTTAAATAGAAGAAAGGCAAAAGTATTCTGTAATTCACACAGTTGCATTGACCAGTTTGATAAAGGCAGAGATGTAAATATTGTTTTGTTTGTCAAATCTGAATCTTGTGTTTTCACAGTACAAGTACCAGGTGAATGTGGATGGAACAGTGGCAGCATACCGATTCCCTTATCTCATGCTGGGTGACAGCCTGGTGCTTAAACAATCTTCATCCTACTATGAACACTTCTACAGTGCACTAAAGCCAGGGAAGCACTACATTCCCATCAAACGCAACCTGGGGGATCTCATAGAAAAGATACGCTGGGCAAAGGTGAGACCATCACTTTATAACTTAAAAAAGGAGTACAGGCAAATATGAAAATGCCAATTTACTCCGCACAATTGTCCTGTTCAGCAAATAAACCCTAAAATTGAAGCTTTTATGTGCCCTAAAATCCATTTCTTGGAGTTCATTGAGAGACACAGGATTCAGAGACAAGTGAGTTATACTGCATGCTTTGGACACTTGCAAGTAAAGAGCAATGCTGGTATAAACCCTAATGCTCCCAGTATGCCTCCGTTTTGCATTTTACAGTGTGTACAAACATCTAGTTATCTTGAGGGGCACATGATTCAGAGCACTGGGACATCTAAAAGCAGTCCAATGGAGGGGTGTGCAACCACAACACAACACCCAACAGGTTGTGCAGAACATAGAGAACTGGGGCTGCTTGCAGCTCAAATAGCTGTCTGGAGGACCTTACACCAAAAGCTGGCATCAGATGAGGCCTGAACATTCCCTGGTAGAAAATAGAGAATGTGAGCATAGAAGATCAGGTGGTAGCCTTGAAAATCTAGGAAATAATGTATGTGTATAAAAAATATACTGTGTTGTTTCATATACCAAAACTAACTAACTAGTGCTAACTATAGACATGTTTAGTTATAACTCAAGATCTCTGCATAACAGTCCTTCATATTAATGACTGTGAATAAAACTGAGATAGAATCCACCAATCGTGATCAAGTCCACATAGACAATTCAGGGAGATCAGATTGTGTAATAGCAGGCACGTCCACCAAACCCCTTTTGGGCACACCTTCAACTTATGGATTGAACCTCATTACAAAAATCCTATTTCACCTTTAATCAAATCAATCGGACTCCATAAACCCAGTTGGACTCTTTTTGGGCTCAAGCAATCCTCCCTAGAACTTTCACTTGGGAAATCCAGCAATCCTCTGATAAAGCACGAATGAGTGCTCAAAAAGGATACAAAAACTGACATATTGTTCACTGCGGTATTTTTATGAAGAAAAGAAAGAAAGGTCAAGTTATAACTGAATAAAATCCCAATATCACTTTAAAGCCATTGCAATGCTGCTCAGGTAGATGGCTGTAACAGCAGGAATATACAAATACCTCTGGCTGCATGGAAACCTCTATATAGCAGAGTGCTACCAAGCCATGCCTTAGGTCACGTCCTATGCAATTCGTCACTCTGATGTCATCAGAGGCATGATGTCAGAATGATATACTGCATATATGTATATGTATATGATTCAGCACAGCATTTTTTTATACACATATGCGGAGTGGTTTTTCACGTTCATTCTTGCAGCTTTAGTTTAGTTCAGTGGTCTCCAAACTGCAGCCTACAGGCTGGATGTGGCCCTTTGCTTGCCTTTGTTTGACCCTTATCCCACTAATATGGGGCACTATTCCTCTCATTGACACCAAACATGTGGTACTGTTCCTCCCACGGACACCAGTGATGAGGTGCTATTCTTCCAACTGACATTAGTGATGAGGCACTATTCCTCCACTGACACCAAAGGTTACATAGTTAGTCTGGCTGAAAAAAGTCCATCCAGTTCAACCATAAAAAAAAAAAAAAAAAGTGGGATACTATTTTTTTCACTGACATTGATGGGGCACTATTCTTTTCTCTGGTACCTTTTTCTACTCTCATGGGCCACAGTCCAGACCCACTAAAGTCTACAGGGCAGTAAACTGGCCCTTTGTTTAGAAGTTTTGGAGAACCCTGGTTTAGTTCACTACTGATGTGCAGTCCCATTTTTCACTAAATTGAGGAAACAGTTGCCTGATGCCAAAAAGCTCAAGAGGCACTTACAGATCCAGTAGAGTGTGGCTGGAAAGAAATGAATGAAACCCAATCCATAACATTATACTGTAATATTGAATGATAAACTGTCTGAGCCACCAAGAATTAGTGCAGAGACCATGAGGAATGACAAATAGAGAGTCAGAATTGACATTGGAAGCAGTAGCTGTGAGGTAAACCCACACAGCATGGAATACATCCACACAATGAAAGGAACTCTTCTGATGAACTGCAATTGGATAGAGCGACTGGCTGAAGTGAACGGTGAAAAGAGCCTCTGGGTCTCAACACCACCATGTCCCTGTGTAGAATGGTGCCTTACAGGTCAAGGCCATCAGTTCAGACACATGCCTCACAGAGGGTTGGCAACAAGAAAACAACCTTATGAGTAACAGAGGAAAGGGGGATATCCCCGATAGGTTCATAAGGCAGTTTTAGGAGTGCCAAGAGAGCAAAGTTGAGATCCCACGAAGACAAAGGTGATCGTACAGGGGGAGCAACATAAAATACACCCTGTACAAAGGTCTTAATCAAAGAATAGAAGATTAGCAGTCTTTGAAGCAAGATCACAAGTGCTGAGATTTGACCCTTAATAGTACTCAGGGTGAAATGATGACCAAGTAATTAGCAGTTAAGGTCTGCACACAACTATTAACTACGTAACAACCAATCATATACATTGCTAAAAAAATTAAAGGAACACTTTTTAATCAGAGTATAGCATCAGTCTCAAGAACATGAAGGAGATTACAGTAGACAGGCAGTTACTCTAGGAGAGCTGGACAGGGCCGTAGAAGGTCCTTAACACATCAGCAGGACCGGTATCTGCTCCTTTGTGCAAGGAGGAACAGGATGAGCACTGCCAGAGCCATATAAGATGACCTCCAGTGGCCCACTGGTGTAAATGTCTCTGACCAAACAATCAGAAACAGACTTCATGAGGGTGGCCTGAGGGCCTTCTAATGGGCCCTGTGCTCACTGCCCGGCACCATAGAGCTCGATTGGCATTTGCAAATGAACACCAGAATTGGCAGGTCCACCACTGGTGCCCTGTGCTTTTCACAGATGAGACCAAATTTACCCTGAACACTTCTGATAGACATGAAAGAGTCTGGAGAAGCCGTGGAGAACATTATGCTGCCTGTAACATCGTTCAGCATGACTGTTTTGGTGGTGGGTCAGTGATGGTCTGGAGAGCCATATCCATGGAGAGATGCACAGACCTCTACAGGCTAGACAATGGCACCCTGACTGCCATTAGGTATTGGGATGAAATCCTTGGACCCATTATCAGACCCTACACTGGTGCAGTGAGTCCTGGGTTCCTCCTGGTGCACGACAATGCCTGGCCTCGTGGCGCGAGTATGCAGGCAGTTCCTGGAGGATGAAGGAATTGATAGCATTGAATGACCCCCACGTTCTCCTGAACTAAATCCAATAGAACACCTCTGGGATATCATGTTTCAGTCCATCCGACGCCGCCAGGTTGCACCTCAGACTGTCCAGGAGCTCAGTGATGCCCTGGTCCAGATCTGGGAGGAAATACCCCAGGACACCTTCCTTCATCTCATTAGGAGCATGCCCCGATGTTGTCAGGCATGCATACAATTACGTGGGGGCCATACAAACTACTGAGTACCACTTTGAGTTGCTGCAATGAAATTTCAGCAAAATGGACTAGGCTGCTGCATCATTTTTTCACTTTGATTTTCGGGGTGTCTTTGAATTCAGTCCTCTGTAGGTTGATAATTTTCATTTACATTAAACAATGGAGCATCCTTACATTCCTAACACATTACCCAGTCCATATCAGTATAGATATCCAGCATGATATTTTTCTCCATTGAGATCTGATGTGTTTAAAAGTGTTCCTGTAACTTCTTTGAGCAGTGTATTATTATTTAGGGTGCTGAAGCCTCTCAACAGTGTATCAATCTGTTTTTAATGTATAGAGTAAGCACACCACATAGCCAAACTGCTTTAGCCATAAGTTTGTATTAGGCATATACAATACATACAATCACCTGGCAGGTACAGAAAACCAAGCATGTCATCTAACATCAAGCATAATACAACAAAGATGTACATTCATTATTGAGTAACAGCAAAGAACATGCATGCATATAGGTGCAATGAGCTACACTTAAAATGCATAAGTGCTGATGTTCAGAAATACATACAGGAATGAAATACCCAGAATAGAGTGAAAAAAAAGGAAAGCTGAGCCAGACCCTGGTGAAAAGAGAGAGGGAAAAAAAAAACAATGTTTCAGGGATCCAAAAACCCCCTTTCTCAAGAATTTCGTACCTGCTAGGTAATTGTATGTGTTGTATATGCCTAATACAAACTTACTGCTAAAGGAGTTTGGCTATGTGGTGTGCTTACTCTATACACTAAAAACTGAAATGATTGCAAAAAATGGCAGGATTCATCCCACTAATTATTTCTTGAGATGAAAGCTTCTTTCCTCACATCAAGAGAAATATGCCTACCATGTGTGATGGTATACCTTGCAGGAGGTAGACTTCCTATCTTTTAACCACTGATTCAGAGAGGCACCTGCCCCTCAAGACCTGGGCTTAAACCACCATGTCATAAAAGCCAGGGACTGTAACATCTTTGGAACAGAATATCTTGAGGTACTTGGAGAGCCCAGGGAGCATCTATCGGGAGTCTGAACATCTGCATGGGCCAATCCAGAGTTATAAGTATCACTGAAATACCCCCCATCTCCATCTTGTGGAGCAGACGAGAAAGAAGAAAGGCATAGATGAGACTGCTGATTTTACTGAGCCACCAGATCATCTTCTGCTTCTGCCAGAGAATCTCTGTACCTGCAGACAAACCTGTCCAGTTTGTTATTGAATCTGGAGGGCCAGATGGCACTCCCTCACCTATGGCATAGGTTCTGGAACACTTCCAAGTGTTGAGCCCATTCTTCCAGATCCAGGCTTTGACAGCTGATGAATTCTGCCTGCCAGTTGTCCACTCCTAGGATGTAACTGGCTACATGTATTTCTACCCAGGACAGAAAGCTTTCTAGGTTAGATTAAATTTACATTTGAATTCAGTTTTGTTGTTAGCATATTAATGAGCGTTATTAATAGCTGGTCTACATAAACCTGTAGTTTGTGTCTATTGATACTTTTGAGTCGTTTCTCTAAATCCTAATTAACAGAAAATCTCAAATTTATTCTGTGCATTCATTGTAGAAATGAGACAAAAAACCGAACATCTGAACAGCAGAATTACACCTAGGGTTTTTGCTACATTCCACTGTAGGGATGCTTTATAATCTAGAATATGAATCTTACGATAAGAATTTACACACGCTTTTTGTCCTCCATTTTTGGTGCTTTTACTGAAACGTCTGATTTTATGTTTGTGACTCTTTTTTTTTTTTTAACCAGGAAAATGATGAAGAAGTCAAAAAGATTGCCAAAGAGGGCCAGACTCTTGCTAGGGAACTGCTGCAGCCTCAACGCCTCTACTGCTATTATTATAAAGTCTTTCAGGTGAGTGATCCGAAACCACCATCATGAATCGTGTCATTATTTTCTTTTTTGAGTCACTTATAATTGCTATTAACTTTTCAGTCTTGTCTAAGGCCTCTTGCACACTGCAGCTTCAAAAAGCTCAGTACAGCCTTTTTATTACAATGTGCCAGTACACAGAGGCGCCAAAACAAGCGTTGCATATTCTTAAGTAAAATAAAAATAGAAAAGTCTGGGTTCCTCGTCAGTATTTTGTACCGGAAGAGCAAATGCGCACAAATGAGCTCAAATGCGCATAAACACGTGCATATGAGCATAAATAATAATATTGGGTTTTGCCCAAGCACGTATTGTATGCGCGAATACACGCAACACAAATGCCTGAAATTACTTCCAGAAATGCTGAAGCTTTAACATTTGTGCAAGAGGCCTAAATATGTATGTTTTACTGTTTGACATTGTAATATAATAACTATAAACACTCATCAACGTTTTACAGTCCCCAGCTTCTTAGGTCTGGTTCACTGCTATGTTTTTTGTTGCTTTTTGTAGAAACGCACTAAAGTCCATTTAAGTTTCCTATGGGACACCGCTCACATCTATGCATTTTTCAGCCGCTACATTTTTGGAAAGGGCCAGGGACTTTTTAAAAGCAAAACAATGTGTTTTGATTCAATAGACTTTAGTGGAGACACTGCAGAAAAGTAGTGCGTACAATTTGTTATTGGGCAGATTAAAAACCGCAAAAAACAGAACAAATTGTTAAAAAAAAAAGCATATACGCAAAATGCACAAGAAAAGCATGAAACCGCGTGTGCAAAAACACACCGTAAAAAGCACTGCAGAAACGGATCAAAAGCAAACTGTATAGGTGTGAACCAGGCCTTCACTTTAATATCCAAGTATATTCTATCACTAAAATCTACATCAATAGGACACACGTTAGATTATTGTATTCAATTAGAAAAACCCTGTTTAATACACCCACAGTGGGATGAGGCACGACAACTTTTCAGCACTACAAAACCTGCATACATAAGGAGAAAATGTAGTCCCCCTATGTACATATATAATTACAAATTCTGCACATTTTTTTTTTTATTTTAATAAATGAATACAGTCTGATAAGGTTGATTTTGCATTAGAATAGTCTGTATAAAATGTATTAATATCTAAAAGAAAAAACTATGCGTTCTTCGTTAATGTTGATGTGCTCTATCAAAAGCACATTTTGAGTCCAATAATAAAATGGTTGCACATGTATGCGCCAATATTCACTAGTTTGTCGAAAATACCATTTGTTTTCTGTTTTTTTTATCATTTGTTCAGCCTATTGCTGGTCTGTCGCTTTACCTTCTTTTAATAAATTGTTTATCTTCAATTTGAACCTTAAACACACCTTTCCATTCTCTACAGTGGTTCCCCAGCCAAAGTTTTTATTTTTTTTTTCAGTGTTAGTGTTGTCAAGGATTAGGTGCTTTGTCAAACGCTACTTCTGTCTGTGTCCCTGACTAGGGAAACAGTTCTGTCCTAGAGGAACATTCCTACTCTCCATCTCTGTTGTGCATTTCCATATGTTCCTTTTGGAGTCTGAGGATCCTAGTGAATTATCTAAAGTATTGTATAAGAAAATGCACTTAAGAAAGAGGAAACCAAAGAATCTGTATACCAAGACAGGAAGTGAGGGGAAATCTCTCGAACAGGAATGACCAGACAGAAGATCCTTCTAACCCAGGGTTTCCTCAACCAGGGTTCCTCCAGAGGTTGCCATGGGTTCCTTGAGCAATGAGCAATATTTGCTTCTCAGGTAAGTTCCCACTGACACCATTGATCTTTTTAGCTATCTGTAAGGGGGTAATTCTTCCCAATGACCACAAGTGTAAGGAGCATTCTTACCTCTGACCGTCACACTAGTGTATCATGAGTTGTAGATAAAGTCATTTTTAGCAGGCGTTCCCTGAGACAGGAAAGTTATGTCAAGGGTTCCTCTGCGTTGAAAAGGTTGAGAAAGGCTGGTCTATCCCTTCCCTACTCTATCCAAAACTAATAAAGGTATTCTACTTTGCCAAAAATGGATTTGTACAGATGTTGATAAAGGAAAATCATTTTAATATCTCTGTATTTCAGACGTATGCGAAGCGTCAAACAAGCCGTCCAGAAGTCCGTGATAATATGGAACTTGTTCCCCAGCCAGATGATAACACTACTATCTGTAAATGCCATAGAAAGAAGAGCAAGGATGAACTGTAATACACCAATGGGATCCCTGCGGTTCAGAAAATAACATTGGTTGTCTCCAGAGTCACTTTGAATCGCCTGATTGTATACTGTAAAGCAGTACTGCTGTGGCCAGAGATGGGCATTACAGAGTCTGGAGGATTACACAACTCCCAAGCAGTACAGGACTCCTCTGATATGATGTTATTGGTAAAAATTCTATGTAACAGTGTTCATTCCAACAGGATGTTATACACTGAGCCATGCTTATTTGAACTGAGCCAAAAGCAATGATATGATCAAAGCCATAAGAACCAATCAGTTTACAGCCCTTGTCAGATAGAGATCTGTGGCTGGCTGATACATGTAGCGGTACACCATTATTATCATTTTAAATGACAGTGTTTTGTCTTTTACCCACTTCTACTATTAGTTACCTTTATAATGGGGAGTAGTGGGTGCTTCCAAGAATATATGAAGGTTCCCTTGACATAAGGAGCACCTGCTGGACTCCATGTAGGCAGCAATAAACAAGAATGTATGAAGGTGGGCTGTTAACAAAAGAGGTACTAATGCTAAATGCAGGGTTCCAAGCATTTCTCTCTCTGTCGCTTAGAAATTATTCTCAGGTCCCACATTACAATACAAAGTTTAATAACACAGTATAGTGACAAATATCCCTTTTAGCTTGGGCCATAAGTCGACATCTTTATTGTCCTATACTAGGATTTATACATCTAGTGGTCTATAGGAAATTTCTGATATCCCTGAATGCAGGCAGCACAGGCAGATGAAATAAAGCACAACAAAACCCAAAAACAAACATTTTATATTTGGTCCTTTTGATCTGTTACATATACCATTTGAAAGTATTTTATCATCTGTTAAATTGGTTGTAAACCTCAGACATGAAATCTGGATAAATCATATCCCTCTATAGTGTGTACTCAATTAACAGCACTAGGTGTCATTTTTCCCTTCTGCTTTGCTCCTCTGCTATCAGCATGAATCACTTTTCAGAGGTTTTCTTGACACCAAGAGAAAATGGGGACAGGGGTGGAAGCTCCAGCAGATTGACAGCCTCAGCTCTGTTCCTGTTTGCTGTGTGGAGGGGGGTGTGTCTCTTCTCTCCAATCAGCTCTCAGAGCTCTCCCCACTGAGCTCTGCAGAGTGTAACTTCAGCTCACCGCCTCCTGTTTTCTGAACACCAAGAAAGCTATATAAATTCTGGACTTTGAAGTAGGGATGCACCAAAATTCTGGTTGCTGAAACATTTAGGCCGAAAACACCCCTTTCGGCTGTCGGCCGAAATGAAAAAAAGAACCGATACAGGTGCCAAAAACCTCCGCCCCTCAGAGCCGCCCGCCTGCCAGCTGGCCGCCGTTTGGTAGTTCAGTGTTACCTGAAAAACCATCGATCCCAGCATTGGGCATAGAGATGAGAGAAGGAAAGATGGCCGCCACACATCTCTGCCCTTGGAGGACCGGAGTGGTCATTTCCAGTTCCAGCCATTTTTTTTTTAAAGCACTAGATCAATGCTTTTTTTTTTTTTTTTAACAATGCCTTACATTGCAGAGGAGAGATGTGGGGTCTAATTGACCCCATATCTCTCCATAAAGAGGACCTGTCACTAATTATTTCTATCACAAGGGATGCATGCATTTATTGTGATAAGAATAAAAGTGATTACAATTTTTTTAAAAGGAACAGTGTAAAAATTAAAAAAAACATTAAATACATTTTTTTTTTAAGTTTAAAGTGCCCCCGTCCCCCCGTGCTTGCACATAGTGGTGAACGCATACGTAGGCCATGCCCACATATGAAACTGGTGTTCAAACCACAAATGTGACGTATTGCCACGAACGTCAGAGCAAGAGCAATAATTCTCACACTAGACCTCCTCTGTAACTTTACACTGTTAACCTGTAGAAATTTTAAAGCATCACCCATGAAGATTTTTAAGTACTGCAGTTTCACGCCATTCCATGATCGTGCGCAATTTTAAAGCGTGACATGTTGGGTATCGATTTACTCGCTGTAACATCCTCTTAAATATTTTACAAAACAATTGGGGTATATATTGTTTTTTAATCAAAGTGTATTTTTTTCAAAAAAATATATATTCATTTTTAAAAACTGCGCATTTTGGTTTCGGTTTTCGACCAAGTGCATTGTGAATTTTCAGTTTCAGTACCCGAATTTTCATGTCGGTGCACCACTACTTAGAAGTTATATAGAGCAGTGAAGACTTCAGATAAACAGCTATAGCTTATGTAGGATTTGTTTCATCTCTGTGTATCAGCTGAGGCCACTCACTTTGCTTGGTACATGTAAGGGTTTACAACCACTCTAAAGTATAACTAAAGGCAAAAACCTCTTTTTTTACGTTTTGTATGGAGAGGAGAGGGATTGGAACACCTGTCAGTTTTTATTGCTGTTTGTGCCCCTGCAAGATTCACCTTCTCTATTTTTCATGTTTACCATTTTCAGTGAAAGTAAATCCCAAATGTGGGGTTGTCCCCAGAAAAGTAATAGAGGGGAAATCTTCCAATGGAGACACTTGTTCTGGTGACCTGGGAGTCCCCTCCTGTTTGGCTATTGGGCAGGAAGTGAATGTAAATCCCTGAAAGGGGACAGATGGCAAAAATAAATTTGACAGGGCTTATAACCCTTCCTTTCTCTATCTAAAATGAGAAAAAAAGGTTTGCCTAGAGTTCTACTTTAAGTAACAAAATATCTTGATATTGCCAAAAATCTTGTGAGCTGCTACCTTTCTGCCTGTGCTGACTCAATTGATCTATGAGGACTACAGAACCACACCTCTCTGCTATATAGAACAGGAGGTGGGCAGGGTTCCATAGTTCTATCTTGTTTATCTGATACAATATGGTAAATGTGTTGTCATGCTAGAACGGAAGGTGTGTCACTAGCAGAGTCATCACCAGGTGAAAAGAAAGATTATAAATCTAGAAAATACAGTTTACAAAAAGAAAACTAATGTAGCCACCTAAGGACTGGGTAAGCTATGGTATTTTACTGTTTTAGGGTTTGGATATGCTTTACTGCGGTACTGTATGGACAGCTGGAACCCGTGGCTGTCAGAATACCCCAACAATGGAGTGGCTGCATCTGATTGGATGCAAGCGCTATTCGGTTGAGAATCTTCCACCCAGCTGCTTTGTCAAACTTTTATTTAACTTTTGGTAAGACAGGTGGTGCTGACTGGGCCACCAAATGAACACATTGCAGCGGATTCAGCAGGAAATAGCCAAAATTTGATAAGTGTATGGCAGCTTTAGTCTTCCGTTGGGCCCTAAATTAAAAATGTATCTCTGTCCATAGAAGTACTGGGAATTCTATTCGGCTCTTGATGCTAAATGGCAGGGAAGTGAAACCTAGGAATTAAGGAAAACCTGTTCTGTTTGTCCATGATAAACACTCCATGCTCTCTGGATTTTGCTGTTCTCGTAAAGTATGACAATGTATATTGAGAAATATGAAGAATATTCAGAGCTATTTTATATGACTATATATCATTCAACAACTGCTGCTGCAAATGTACAGATGTCTGTGTACTGTTTTTAATATGAATTTATAATAAAGAATGTTTTTTTATGTCTCTAATTATTATCATTATTAGTAGGGAATTGACAACAAAATTAATTTTTTTATATCCGTACACAAATGTGCCTTTCATTGCTATTTTAAACTGAATGGGTTGTTTTACAATGTAAGGGTTCACATATAGTTTAGATGGTAACTCTACTTTTGTTGAGAAAAAATAGAAGTGAAGTTACTCTTTAATATTTGCCTATAAGTAGCACAGAGCTACAATAATGTCTTTTTATTAAAAAAAAAACAAGAATAAGATATTATCACGTAATGTTTCATGTATAGAATTCATTTGCTGGGAATGAATACAGATAAAAGCTTTGTTCTTTTCAGTGAAGATTTCCATCAAAAGACATTTTATATTCCTTTAAATGTATAAATGTTTGTACATAATTTCTTATGGTCAGGAAGACCAGGGAAAATTTTTTTTCTCTTTTCATTCCGCAATGGACATCTGTGCTAGTGCTCGTCTGATGCATGGAGCAGAATGCAGCCTGTCTTGGACCTGTATGGATGTACACTCTGGGAAGCGCTTGCAGATCCATGTAGGTCCGTACAGCTGTCATTGACTTCAATAGACTGTCTGCACTTGTACATGCCGTATGGGTGATCAAGGACCTTCACACTGGTACACCTCTGTGAATGAGGCCTTACAGGTTTCAGCAGCTCAGGGTTAAACTCATTGCAGTGACTTCACCCGTACCAGCCAGCTCACCCTGAGATTTCTGATAGAAACTGTCTGCCTGAAAGGAGAGGACTACTGTTGTGCTATCTCTTTAACTAACCCATAGTGTTCAGCGAATCATTTGCCATGTATTAAATATGTATTTTTGAAGACTGTATAAAACTTCAAGCACTTTTTGCTGGATGATAGCTAAAAAGAGTGGGAAATTTGAGTGGAGAGTGAAAAACAGTTTTACTTTTGACTGCTGGTGATTGCTGGTGCTTGTACTTGTTCTATTTTCTTCTTTGGATCTTGCTAAAAGCTTTTACTTTTTTCTATCACTTTTTCTGTCACTTTTTAAATAGCATTTTTTCTTTTAGTTACGTTAGAATGATTTTGGAATTTGTTTCGTATATTCAAAATCGTGTTGTATATTTGTTGATCTGAATCGATCTTTATTTTCGGAAAATTGGCTATATTCATTTTAATGTGTTAATTCAGTATTTTGAGAGATTACTTATGCACTCTGTGTCATGTCTGCTAGTCCAACCCACATAGAGAAATGGAATGAGCTGATTGGACGATATCAACTGGAGTCGCGTGCATCTGAAAGTAACGAATGGAGCGAAATTAATTTCAAATTAATTTGTTACATTATGATTCAGGGATTCTGGTGGATTCACTTCCATCCAACCCAAACACAATAAGCAGGAATCATCATCTTACGTCACTTTTATATCTTACTGTATTTTTTACA